TGATAATCAGGTGGGAATTAATTTTGCAATTANTTTTTCTCCACAAGCTAGTGGAAGCACAGCGCTGAAGCACTGCTTTACAATAACAATAAAAGGATTTGTTCTTTGATTTGGTAGGCATTCAGGGCTTTTTCTTGTTGTTGTTCTTTCTCTTTGACTTGCAGGCCTCTGAAAGCAAGGAGACTAGTTCAAAAACCTCTTATCATGCCCTTGTAAAGCGGAAAAAAACAACTGAAGTAAAAGAACAAGCTGGGTGCTGTAATTTAGGTAAAGAGAGTATGATTTAACTGGTCATCTCTTTTACTTGAATAAGCTGAATTTACAAATTTTCAGGGTGAGACTTTGCAATCTTGCTGCTTGATAAAGAGTAACTCTGTGATTTGAGTATAGGCTTGAAATCAGTATCATCATATTCTGTTCCAGTCTGTCTTGCACTTGTCTGTGACCTTAGGGAAAAGGCTTATAAGATTTACTTCGTACTTCTGCTATGCTCCTCTGCTAGGCCTAGGAGTGCCATGGGTTGCTAATGCTAAAGGGTGGTGTATTTTAGCTGGTACATTGAGTAGCTGAAACTACTGCTGATTGTACGCAGTTTGTTTAGCATAAGGACAAGTGTCTGTAATATCAGATGAAGGAATGTGACCTCTTTTCCTAGATTACAACACATGTATTAATCTCCTTGCCCAAAAGACTACAGTAATCTTAAAATCTGTCACAGAATCATAGGAATAGTTGAGATTGGAAGGGACCTCTGGAGATCATCTAACCCAACCTTCGCTGCTCAACAAGGTCACCTACTGCAGGTTGCCCAATACTGTTTTCAAACAGCTTTCGAATGTCTCTAAGGAGATGAGGAGGAGGTAATTCCAGACCACAATAATACTTCCTAAGCAGTGAGAGCAATCTTTGTTTTTCAAGGTCCTATCATCCAAGCAGGCAGACTGCATGAGAGCGGCACTAGATCCTGGGAGCACACAAAATTACTTTCTGTGTGAAAATGTGTGCAAGAGCACAAAAGTGTTTGGAATGCAAATAGCAAGTTTTCTTCCTCCCCTGAAATGAGAAGGAAGAAGGAAGATGAAGAAAGCGTTAAATGAATACAGATCAAGAAAGGATCCCATTTCATACACAAGAGATAGTGTTTTCTCTGAGAAACAGAGTAGTGAGGGCAGAAACACACAAGTGCTGTGAGCAGGAAGTTGTTGAGAGTCCTTTATTTCATTTGTTGTATAGCTGTTTACAGAGCCTGCAGGTTAGCTGGTTGTGCTCCACAATTACTCCTCTAAGCAAGGAGGAATCCTGCTTCTTTGAATTGGAGCAACTTTTTCATCCCAGCTCAAGATCATGAAAAAATGAAGTGAAATAGGGCTACCTATTTCTCTACCTATTTACCTCTGTAAGTTTTTACTCCTTGCTTACCAAAGCAATAATTGTGGCTCTTTGATCCAGCATATTGGAGGTTTACACCTAGTCACAATTAAAACTCTTTCTTGTTGGTTTCTGTGTTTATGTTGTTGTACTCTTACTATCCCCTCCCATTCCAGATTTGCCAGTAGTATGTGGTGTAAATGTGCCTTCCTTGATTTGGACTAACTCGCATAGCACCGAAGATACTGCTGCTGCTGGTACCCGTCTTCCTAGTAAAAAGTGTGTCGAACAGAAGAGTCAAGATGAGAAGATGTCCAAGAAAGTAGTTCCTGGTGATATTATGTCCCTGAATATAGTGGAGGAGGACTTGGACTCGCCCACTAGCTTACCAGAGCCTGTACATTCAGGAGAAATGAACAGAGGAACTTTTTCAGGTGGAGACAAGTTATTTTCTTCTGGTAATCAGGATCTGCCAGAACTCCAGAACCAAAAATATAGGGAGAAAAATAGACAAGAAACCAATGCTCAGATGAGGAGGATATTAGAGAGACTGAATGTTATAGAAGAGAGACAAAGAGAAATGCAGGATACCTTGAATAAGGTTCACTTGTGTTTACAGCAAAACAAAAGGGTAGCAATGAGCCTTCTTACTATGCCAGAAGGAAGTTGATAGGCTTCAGCTAGAGATAAAGGAGCTTGATTTAAGGCCTATCGAGACATTGAGACATGATTCTTTACTGTGAAGGGGTGGGGGGGGGAGGCGGAAAAAAAAGAAGTGTAACGTGTGCCTGTATCGCCAAAAGGTTATCTAAAGGGAGGCAGAAGAGTGACTGAAGAAATAAGAGGACATGCTCCTATTTTATCTGGTTTGTTTGATGGTTTGTTTGTTTTCATCTTGTTGTAGAAAGCATTCTGTTTTCAGCCTGCCAAGTTCCAAAATCCTTTTTAAGCTGGTCCATCAGAGGGTTAACTGCTTGTTAGTGCCTTACAGCCAGGATTAATCGTGTGTTTTCTTGAACTCTGAAAAAACAAGAGTGCTACTTCTGTGTTCTTATTTTCTTTCTAGGGTAGTATTTTTGTTGACAAAATTAAAGCAGAAAGCCTCAGCCTGGATGCATACAGATAGTGGCTTGGGAATATGAAACACCTCCAGAGCTCCTGATCAACCATGAGAGCCATATATGCATAAGTAGTTCAGTACAGTTAGGTTGACTTGTCACTTTTGGATATTTTTTAAGTGCTGTAGAGACCCTTCTCATCTCAGGTTGCTGTCCTTAGAGATGCTTGTCTTGACTTCAGAGTGTCTATAATGTGTACTACTTTGCTGAAGTATTGCTTCAGTGTAAAGGGACTTGGCCTTGTAGTCTTTACATTGCTTTCACCACTCTACAGTTACCTTATTGCCTACATTGCCAGGTACAGTGTGCACTACTTCACAGAGCTTGGCCTGTGGAGCACCATATGGGTATTTCTGAGCACAGCACTAGTTAAACATGCTGCCTCCTGTATATAGAAGCATATTGACTGCAGAATGCAGTAGCTGTCAGCATAGCCTGCCACAGCTCCTGAGTAATTTAATTTTTCTCTTGGAGTTCCAGGGAGTTCCCCCTCCTTTTTATTTTCCAGTGTATCTATTCAAGGCAGTGGAACACAGCAGTGCACCAGTCATTGGCCTTCTGCTATGACTTTCGGATATTAGTATAGGTGCTTTGGAAAATCTGGCATTAACAGATATGTTGCTGCTGCTTGGAAAAGTACTAGTTTGCTCCGTGAACGATTTCAGTTTGGCTAGCTCAGCGATCAAGATGTTTGAGAGTTCATTATTGGAAGAAAATTAGAATGTGTTTTACTCTTGTAAGTTGTTTTCTGACCTACAAAATCAAGTGTAACATTTTGCCAAAACGCCTGTATCTTAGTTTGATTATTTCTGTTAATAAGGATGTAATTACACCTTATACTAGAGTTGGGAGAATCAGTGTTCTTTTTTTTTGCATTGGCATGTGGTGTTTCTTTCAGACATGTAAAATGAATGTTTTGTGACTTTGAAGTTTCTGTCATAGTTCATTCATGCATCATGTAATAAAGTGGTTGTTCAAAATTTGCTTGAGTCTATTGCTCATTTAGTAACAGAAGACTGTTTTTCCACATGCCTACCCTGGGGGCTTTACAGAAAGGCACAGGATATGATGTGTCTGTCCATGCTTTGTGGTGAGCTGTATAATTTAGGAAAGTACAAAGACTGTGTCATGAATGACATTAAACATCTGAACTGATCACGTGCTTTGGAAGCAGCGTTTCTGTGTTTCCATTCAAAGTGCTTATCGAAAGTAATTGGTGATCTTTCCTATCAGTGCCATGGATGGAACTGTCTATGAATATATACGCAAATATATACACACACACACACATACATATGTATGTAGGTGTTATCTATTGTAATGCATTGCATAAATGCGTGTTTACATGCACATGCTCTCCAAGTCTAACCAAGCTAGCCTCCACAAACAGGAGAAGCCCCTTTGTGGCATCTTTCCATTTCTCTGTCAGCTCAAGACTCAGATACCTTGGCACCTTTCCGTCTTTCACTGTCCCCTTCCTCTTGCTGTGCAGGAGCTAGCCTTGATTCCATATCCCTTCTTTTCTGTTTCCTTTCCCCTGCCAGTAGTTGGCTGCTGTTCATGGCATGCAAGGGGAGGAGTGACCAACAAAACACATTTTTTTTTCTGTGCAGTGGGGTCAGACCACTAAGTGGTTGGATCATATCACTACTATTTACAAAACAGATTTATAGAATGCCCTCCATCTCGGCTGTAGCAGCTAAAAGTGACCTTAGATTTATGCGCATGAACAGAGATGGGAAATATCATATGGGGCTCATATCAAAGCACAACCTCTTATGCAGCATGTTGGAGTAGAGTGCAATTTTAGAAGGAACTGTCAAGTCCTCACAAACTTTACCTTGATCCTACTTGCTGCACAGTTTAGAGTGTTGTGATATTTCCTCAGTGCCTGGACTATAACATAGTATCTGTAGTGCATGGAGTGAGGTAAACTACCTGGACAATTATCTAAACCTTTCTCTAAATACATATGTTTGCTGACAGATCCCTGACAGCTTTGTCTCTGGAAAGCATAGCTGTAATAGAGGTGTCATTCTGATCTCAGATTTACCAGGCTCTTTTCCGTGTTCGGATTCCCAGGACTATGCAGGTTCTCTTCCGCATTTCACAGACGCATGCTGCCAGGCCCGCTAACATTTTAGCTCTAAAAGATTCTGTGACTTTGTTCTAGTTTTCTTTTAGTAAGTTCTGACACACCTGTGAGATGAAACCTGTAGCAGACACTAGAGGTGAGAAACCTTGTGGAAGCCTGCAGTACAACCTGCACTACAAATGGGAGGGAGGGATGAGCAATACTTAATGCAATGTGTTTTGCCTCTCAGGTTTCCCTATTTTTAGAGCCTCTCTGGCTCCCTATTTCTAGAGTCTGCCTCTCTGGGGCTGGTTAGCAGAGTTTTCTAAAAGCATGTTCTACACTTTATGCGTAAGTGAAACCATGAAAATGTTTCCTGCTAGGAAGCCCCCCTGGATGAGGAACTTATTAATTTGCCATTCCCCTGGCATCGGGAAACTGCAAGGGGACAAGGGTGGCAGAGAAGAATAATCTGTTACAAGTGGTATGTGCATAGGAGCTGCTGAATTGTTTGGCCAGGCAATGTCCATCTTTCTGCATCTCCCAAAGTGTGGCCTCACGGTGGGTAAGGGCATATGGAATCCTTGAAGAACTGGCCATTCGTCAGTCTGGTCCAGATCAGCAAAATTTTGTTGTTTTTCTGCGTCTTGGCCAGAAATAATTAGGTGAGGTGACATCATTGTTTCCTCCTATTGCCACTGTCCAGAGCACAGCGCACCACCTCTATGTGAAACTGGTCCTTACAAGCATTTATCTTAGAACCATAGAATCATTACAGTTGGGAAAAAAACCTTCGACCTCATCAAGCCAAGCGTAAGCCCTTCAACACCATGCCTGCTCAACACCATGTCCCTAAGTGCCTCATCTACACTTTTCTTGAATGCTCTCAAGGATGGTGCCTCCGCCGCTTCCTTGGACAGCCTGTTCCAACGCTTGACTACTATTTCTGTGTAGAACTCTTTTCCTAATATCTAACCTGAACTTCCCCTAGTGCAGCCTGAGGACATTTGGTCCAGTCCTATTGATAGATATTTTGGAGAAGAGACCAATCCCCGCCTCACCATAACTTCCTTTCAGGTAGTTGTAGAGAGCCTCCTACAACTCTCTGGAAAAGCCTCCTCTTTTCCAGACTAAATAATCCTGGCTCCCTCAGCTGCTCCTCATACGGTCTGTGCTCCAGCCTCTTCACCAGTTTTGCTGCCCTGCTTTGGATCTGCGGCAGCACCTCAGTGTCTTTCACGCAGTGAGGGGCCCAAAAATGAACACAGTATTCGAGGTGTGGCCTCACCGGCACCGAGTACAGGGGGACACTCACTTCCCTAGTCCTGCTGGCTGCGCCCCTGCTGCTGTGCCCCGGGTGCACTGCAGGCTCACGTTTAGTAGGCTGTCGACCAGCAGCCCCAGATCCTTTTCTGCCACACAGCTCTCCTGTCACGCTGCCCCAAGCCTGTAGCGCTGCGTGGGGTTGTTGTGTCCAAAGTGCAGGAGCTGACACCTGACCTTGTCGAACCGCATGCAGTTGGCCTCAGCCCATCGATCCAAGCTGTCCAAGTCTCTCTGTAAAGCCTTCCTACCCCCAAGCAGATCAACTCTTCCTCCCAGCTTGGTGTCATTTGCAAATTTGCTGAGGATGCACTCAATCCACTCGTCCAGATCGTTGATAAAGGTATTAAAGAGGACTGGCCCCAACACTTACCCCTGGTGAACATGGCTCATGACAGGCCACTGGCTGGATTTAGTGGAGATTCATCATCACTCTCTGGGGCTGGCCATCCAGCCAGCTTCTCACCCAGCAAAGAGTACACCTGTGTAAGCTAAGAGCTGCCAGCTTCTCCAGGAGAATGTGGATCCATGGATCCTGCAAATCCAGGAGATTGTGTCAAAGGCCTTAGTGAAGTCTAAGTAGACCATGTCCACAGCCTTTCCGTCATCCATTAGGTGGATCACCTGGTCATAGCAGGAGATCAGGTTGGTCAGGCAAGATCTGCCTTTCATAAACCCATGTTCGCTGGGTCTGGTTCCCTGGCTGTCCCACACAAGTTCTGTATTCGCACAACAAGTCCTCAATATGATCTGCTCCATAACTCTCCCTGATATGGAGGTCAGGCTGACAGGCCTGTAGTTCTCTGGATCCTCCACTTGACCTTTCTTGTAGATGGGCATCACATTGGCAAGTCTGTAGTCGTCAGGACCTTCCCTCATTGACCAAGACCACTGATAGATGAGAGAGAGCAACTTAGTGAGCACTTCTGCCAGCTCCCTCAGAACCCTCTAGTGAATCCCATCTGACCCCATAGACTTGTAAGTGTCCTAGTGGAGTAGCAAATCACTGATTGCTTCCTTCTGAATTATGGGGCGTTTGTTCTGCTCTCCATAGGTGTCTTCCAGCTCAGAGGATCAAGTACCTTGAGAATAACGGGTCTGGGTGTTAAAGACTGAGGAAAAGAAGGTATTGAGTACCTCAGCTAAATCCCTCCTCTTCTTGCTGTCTTGCTGTCCCTCCAGCCTTGGAGATGGGGCACTCTTAGACCCAGTTTGCCAGGTGAGTATTTGAAGTAGCTGTTAGTCTTTGTAACATTTACTATAGCTGTATATTAACAAAACTGACTTCAAATGACCATGATCACAGTGAAGATCTCATACATCTCATCAAATGCACTGCATGTTACTTTTTGAGCAAGTCTTTGTAAATCCCACCAGTGGTAGCACAGCATCATAAAAGAAGACAGACATGCCCATCTTACATTATGAAATATAAATACAGCAACAGGCAGATGAGATCCAGGATGGACTTCTGTGTCCAATTGTGAGCTCCCCAGTACAAGAGGGATATGGAAGTACTGGAGAGAGTCCAGTGTAGAGCTGCAAAGATAATCAGGGGCCCGGAGCATCTCTCCTATGAGGAGAGGCTGAGCAAGCTGGGCCTGGTTAGCCTAAAGAAGAGAAGTCTGAGAAGGAATATTGTCGATATGTTTACATACTTTAGCCAGACAACAGGACCAGAGGCAAAGGCCACGCACTGAAGCACAGGAAGTTACGCCTGAATTTGAGGAAACTTGTTGAGTGGGAGGGTGACAGAGCACTGCAGTGGGTTGCCTAGAGACGTTGTGGAGTCTCCTTCTCTGGAGATATTCCAAACCTGCCTAGGCAGCATGCTCTAGGTCACCCTGCTTGTGCAGAGGGGTTGGGCTAGGTGATCTCCAAAGGTCCCTTCCAGGTGATGTAATCATTCTGTGATTCTGTGATAACAAGAAAACACAACTTTGGCATGAAAGTCAAACGTCCTGTAAGCAGCCCCATGAATTTTGATCTCACCATTTTGTTTGCTGTTGTTGATGATGTATGGATGGTTATGGTTGGTGGTAGGTATCCAGTCTTTCATGTCCCTTCTCT